TATTCCTTATGCTTATGCGTTATGCTTTATGTAAAAGCTTGTGCTCTCGGCTGAACACTGGATTGTAGTACGGTCCATAGGTGTCGAGATAGCCAGTTTCAAATGTACAAAAAAGTGTTTATTCGGATATCGACAGTAGAGCTTTTAAAAATATTCTTTATTTATGCTGATATAGCTTTGCTAATTTTTAATGCTTATCTTGCTTGTTGGTTTTTTAACTAAAAAAATTTTTCTTTTCTGCTTGTTTAAACCAATTACCATAGAAGGATAAAAGGAAGAGCAGAAGGTGAAAAGAAAATAAAATGAAAAAAAAATAAAACTTAAAAAATTTCTAAAAAAATAATAGAAGTAAAAAACAATCTTTTTCTTTCAAAAAAATAAAATGGTGTTTTTTTTTAACTAAAATAGCATTGTAGTAGTAGAAAATAAATAACAACGTGAAAAAAACTAACTATTCTCAAAATGTCCCTCCAAACTGGCTATCTCGACACCTATGGACCGTACTATAATCACTTTCATCTCATTTAAAAAATAATTTAATTCTCAACAACTTTTGTTTGGGTACTATTTGTTAAAAAACGCATACTTTCTCTAATATTTGTAAAAATGTATAAAATAACCGTGATTTCAAAGGTTTTTGGGCGCTAACTTTTTAAGGAAGCATTTTTCGACCCATGTTTATAGGAAATTTTTTATTCAGAATTAAATTTCCTATAAGATCTCAAAATATCGCCGGAACGTTCGGGACCACCCTGTATATTGCTCGTTTTTCACCAACAATAAATATTCATATAAATATAAATATTATAAATATTAAACCATCAATAAAGATTGATATAAATATAAATATTATAAATATTAATCTTTACTTGTCAATTGCTCCAGTTGCTTTGAAACAGCCAAAACAACATTGCCGCTACGTTCAAAACCAGTCATGATGTAAAAATATGTAGAGTCGGAACACGTCGACTTGATATCAGTGTTCCGATTAGGGACCGGTTGTATGCGCATGTGCGGTAATGGAGATCCAGTGCCGTTATATCATTGAGTAAAAAGAAACAGGAGGGAGCGTTTGGTCTTAAAAGTGCGGATGGAAGTGACTATATAAAGTGGTCGCTCAAGATGGCCGCTCAAGGGCGCCAATATTGAATGACTTGTTATGTTTAATTAAGAAATAATGTACAATTAAAAGAAAATAACTATAATATGCAACAATAATACCAAATTTTAATGGCGTTTTTCATTGGGATTGCACTCGTGCAGTATTTCCATAAGAGCAATGTTAAAATCTAAAATCTAAATTTATATTAAATCCTTCGTCCTTACAAAAATTTATCCATGCATTTCTTTAATCCGGATTTTTCGGAAACTTGTTTGTGAGTGAAAATTATTTAGTAATTATTGTGAATCTACAATTTCACAATACTATACATATGATTATAATCTCCAAAATAAAAATCTCATTATTGTTGATAATACTAACCGATGAAACGTTATTCCATGATTTCGAGCTGCTGCTGTTATGCCACAAGTTCTACAGTATACAATAGGTCTGTTCTTTATAGCTGAACTGGCTGCACTAGTTCAGAGTTTATCTTTCTCCTTTCAATATGGAGAGAAAAAGATAAACTCTGATAGCGTTTTCGATTATACAGGATTTGAACGACCCAGGGTTAGTTAATGACGTCATTGCAACCTCTCCACCAATGAAAGACTTGCATTTATAGTAAAATAATGATTGATCAACCCTGGGTCGTTCAAATCCTGTATAATCGAAAACGCTATGAACTAGTGCAGCCAGTTCAGCTATAAAGAACAGACCTCATTTTGATCGTTTATTTTCATACACTGTTGCATAAAAGACTATACACTGCATATTAATGCGTACGGCGTACGGTATGCCGCTTGCCGCAATGCTCGAGCATTCCCTCTCACTTTCAAAAAGTGGTCGCTCAAGATGGCTGCCATGACGTACATCCGTCCGCGGATTTACCTAGTCCTGGCTAGTATATGCTCCCTCCTGTTTCTTTTTACTCAATGGTTAAAGTTAATGACTTTTCAGGTTACGAAACCTGTCATTCCGACTGAGCGTAGCGACATGGGCATGCGCTGCGGTCACGCGCGCATGCGTAGTAATAACTTAGTGTTGCTTTGCGCAAGATTGAAGTTTTCACGCGTAGGAAAACCCCTATGGGGCGAAGTCTCTCCCCCGCGTAAAACAAATAACAAATCCTACTCAGGGAGTCGATTCTGTATCTAAAATATAGTGAAAATGCGAAAAGTGAGTAGCTCGCGCGATTCAGTAACTTTCATCATAGTGAAAATGTGTGCTATCTCACGGGAGTTTGTTCGGCAAGAAATTTCTTGTCGAATGGTGAGATTCGAGTGAAAAAGACTGAGAAACCATAGCGTCGTGACAATTTCATAGATGTGATTTGTAACTGTTTATAATTGTATCTGTTTATAATTTTAAGGTTAAGTAGCTTTTTTATTGTAAGTATATTTAAAGTATAAATATTATTTTATTTTATTTTTATTATTATTTTATTTATTTTATTATCATTATTTTGTTTGAATTCTCAAAAGCTCGAAAAATGGCTATGTACATGGCTGCTATTTTATTACTTGATGATGAAGAGAATGATGTTTTTATTGGCAATTTTTGAGGACCGCAACCTGCACAATTGAGAATTGTTGCTAATTCTTCTCATAATTCGTCCTATAAAAAAGTATATTACATTATATTCATTCGTAATTTTTATTTGCAATTTTTTATTTTTATAATTTATAGTGTTAGTAAAAATAAAATTTTATTTGATATTAATAATAAAACAACTTACAAAATTACTTACTAATTTTTTTTTATTTTCGCGGTTATACCGCAATCTACCTTTTCCGAAATCAGGATAAGACCGCATAAAATTAACAAGAAGTTGTTTCTGCTTCTCCGTTACGTTCATTTTTTTAAAAATCTGTAGATTTTAGGACGAGTGATGATTATTAGAAGAGATATAGTTCCTGTAGCGGGGGTCTGTATCTCTCAGCGATGGTACATTACCTTTTTTACGATCTATCTGCGCAACGATAAACATAACGATATCGATACCGCCACAAAACATTTTATCGTATACTGGCTGCGTTCCGTAAAGAGCATATGCGCGCATGTATCTACAGTATACGTTACGTATACTATACTGTGGCAGCCATCTTGAGCGACCACTTTTTGAAAGTGAGAGGGAATGTTCGAGCATAGCGGCAAGCGGCATACCGTACGCCGTACGCATTAATATGCAGTGTATAGTCTTTTATGCAACAGTGTATGGAAATAAACGATCAATATGGTATACTGTAGAGCTTGTGGCATAACAGCAGCAGCTCGAAATCATGGAATAACGTTTCATCGGTTAGTATTATCAACAATAATGAGATTTTTATTTTGGAGATTATAATCATATGTATAGTATTGTGAAATTGTAGATTCACAATAATTACTAAATAATTTTCACTCACAAACAGGTTTCCGAAAAATCCGGATCAAAGAAATGCATGGATAAATTTTTGTAAGGACGAAGGATTTAATATAAATTTAGATTTTAGATTTTAACATTGCTCTTATGGAAATACTGCACGAGTGCAATCCCAATGAAAAACGCCATTAAAATTTGGTATTATTGTTGCATATTTTAGTTATTTTCTTTTAATTGTACATTATTTCCTAATTAAACATAACAAGTCATTCAATATTGGCGCCCTTGAGCGGCCAT